CATGAGGGTCTCTTCACCTCTGTGCAATAGGAAAACCATGCAGCCTCCTCCAGATCTAGCAGATCTTTGGGGAGGATAGAGCCAGCTGCATAAAAGGCTTCCCTCTTTACAGCAACTCTGGATCTAGCTGGGGTAACAACTGGTATATTCCCTATAGCTTTTCCCATCCCACAACCTCCCTGTCCAAGCTTCAGAAAAGACTATGAAATAGTCTGCATCTTTTCCCCATATTTCTGAAGATTGGATGGGGGAATAACATATTCCTCTTGGTCATGGTCCATTCTTGCATACCCCATTCCTTATCCTGTACGGATATTTTCCATTTCTATTTCCATTTCAATTTTTTCCCCAAAGGCTTCAGAAAAGGTTCTGAGTGCCCTGAGAAAATGTGTGAAATGGACACTGATTTAAAAAATGGCTGTACAGAAAAGATTACATGGGTTTAGGGGCTTGACCTGTAATATGTCTGTATTTATAGCTAAGTGATAGAGGTTCAAGAAAATCCAATTCCTAGTGGATTAAAAAAGGGGGGGGGGAGTTGGCACCCAGATTGCTTTATCTATATAGTATGAGCAAATATCCACAGTGGATGCAAATATCCTCAGAAGGATGGAAATTTGCCTCTAAGCTTGATGGGAACAAACTCCAGAAAGATAGTGCTTACACTATCCTACCTTTCTGCTACAATCCTACCACATCTTGTTTGTTTACAGAGTTTTAAAACAGGACCACAACCAATCCAGGAAAGAGATTTATTTACTTATGTCCATGGGAAAAGAACTACATCAAACTACTCATGAAAGCACACCAGTTGTGTCCTACTTGGATAAATACCACACTATCTCATTTAGATATGGAAACAATGGGAAGCTATAAAATTTTGCGTATACAAATATTGGTCCTCTGAAATCTTCATAGTCAGCAAGCATAGAGTAGGAAAAAGAGTTCTCCATTTTTAAGTGGTAGAACCAATACTGGATAGAGAATGTCAAAACTGCCTAAGACATTACTCAAGACCAACATATTTTTAATCAGTGGCCTCTTTTTTTTTTTTTTTTCTATATCCAGCTTGAGACACAATAAGTGTAGTAAATTTTCAGAAAGCCTTGAGCACCCACTCTCTGAAAAACTGGTTGCATTAAGGTATCTGAAGATGAGCACCAAGAATTGCTGCATCCAAAATAAGTTTGCATCAGAAATCCAAATTCCCTCAAAATTGGTATTTAGGGAGGACCTAGTGCTTTAGGCAGCTCTAAAAATTCTAGGCACCATGCACAGTGCATGTTTATCTCTGACACTGGCAAATATAGGTAAACATCTTCCACCTAGACCACTGCAGATTTAGTGAAAAGAAGTATTTCCATACTTTTTTTTTTCCTGTTAACTCTAAGGAGGATTAACTAAATAATTCTGGGCTAGCATCTGTGATACTATATTTTTGTCAATAGTTTAAAAACCAGATGTACTTTTTAGATAAAAATGAGATGTAACAAAACAAAGTGTTCTTTTCTCTTCTAAATCTTAATATCTGGTTTCAGATTTTATTTAACAATCTTGCTCCAAGACTTGATAATTTTAATGGTGGGGTCTTTTTCCTAATTTTTATTTCTTGTGATGTGTAAATAGATAAGAAATATTAAATACTGTAATGTTCTTTCATTAAGAGAATAGCATTTCAAAGGCTAACGTAAAATCAAGCTGCTAAAGTTTACAATTTCTCTGTCCAGCAGTTCATTTATACAACTGCCCTGAGTAGATGCTATATGCTGCTTAGCAAATTGCCTTTAAGAGTTTAAAAATAACTCAGTAAAGCTACTCAAAGGTAATACAACACTTCTCAGGCATCTTTATTTGGAGAGAAGAAGAAAATAAGGTTTTCTCATTAGCTAATTATTCACTTCCTCATCAATGACTTATACATAACAAAAACACAATTGAAATGTTCAGGAGAACTAATTGTGCTTGTTCCTATGCATGGGACCATGAGCTTATTTTTCAGGAAGGCAAGATTTTAAATTGTAAAACTAGTCCTATTTTTGTGGACTGTTTTAGCTGCTTTTATTAAACTCTGTGTTGTTCCCATGTGAAACCAGTGAAAACAGTTATTTTCTAACCTACATTGTGAGGATTTTTTTGCAAAACCTCACTGATCCCCTTTAACAAAAAGATTATCTTATTTCAAAATTCCTGATATAATCAATTTGCAGTATTTCTCAAATGGATACAAATATGTAAAATTTGTGCTTTTAAAAGCTTCTGCTTTGAGTAGCCTTACATTCCATAATTGTGCCCTAGCAATCATCAAGCTCTATTGCATGCCCCATTCATGAAAAGTATATTTTGTTGGGATGATGTAGCTTAAAGAATTTGGCTCTAAAACTTCCTTACCTAGAGCTCCCATTAAATTATATTAATTTAAAATATCTATGGAATGATACTTTTACAAAAACATTAAAACAAAGAAAAACAAATTAATGGATTGGGTTTATGAAAAAGATTCTTTACAGTAAGTAAAAAAAGGTTTATCACAGTTTTGGTAACTTGCATGAGTTCGTATCGAAAAGAAATCTTTCACATGTTCTTAATGGATTAGAAACTTTTGTGCTCTAGGTATTTTCAGTTGTATGCCCTGAAACAGTAGACACCATACAGCTTGTGCTTTTTATCAGGGAAGCCTACAAAGCGAACCGCTGCTTCATTAGGACTGCAGCGTTTCCTTGGCCTGGAGATTGGGTAGCGGACGCTGCCGTCAGCCAGCCAGCCGGCGTCACAGCGGTCATACCCCAGGAGCTTCCAGGCAGCAAATATCTGGCCAACTTTAGCGATCTGAGCTCCATCCTTCACGCACGCCTGGACGGCTTCATCGTAGGTCAGCTTGGTTGGGTGAATCAGGTAGTAAAAACGACCTAGTAAGAGAAAGAAGGAAAAAGGGTCATTAGCGACATGAGTAAGACGATGTGATAATAAAACTGTGGCTTTTGAGGAGAAATGGAAATGTTCCACTGCAGAATCACATCAAACAGTGGTTGATTTGGGACTGTACAATTTGGACGTTGAGCTGTTTAAAAATATCTTAAGTTTTTCTGTGGTGAATTGATAAAAATCTGGGGGGGGGGGAGGGGAAGAGGGAAGCCAGGTGGATAAAACAGACTATTTGAATAAAAAATGTAGAGCTTTATTTATTTCTGCTAACTTAGAATGGTACAGCATCCCCACCCTCACTTGTGTTCAGTGGTAAGTGAACTGTTGCAATGCATTTTCATCCTCAGAGGTAGAAAAACAGGAAGAAAAAGATCAGGGGAGAGGGATGATGGAAGACACCTTGGGATTTGGAGGACTGCCCCGTTCTGCATCTAAACTTTTGGTGCCAGATGCATTTACCAACAAGGTGACAATGACAATCCAGTGAAACATCTGAGGAACCCTGTAGATTTCGGGCAAAGCAAACCTCATACAGCTGTATCTGACTGCCAGAGAAGGGAAATCAGTTAAAGGTCCAAACACGTGCACTTCTACAATATGCTCCCAGCGTTAGCTTAAAACCTGTACGAGTTTTCCTCTCAGAAGCATAGCATAGCAAGATCTGGCCTTTGATAGCACAGGGTGAGGGTGGCTGGAGGTAACACACACAGTTTTACTCTCTGACAAGGCGGTGACCTCATTTCTGATTAAGTACAAGGACAATTTATTTATTTATTTATTTATTGGGTGGGGGTGGGGAAGCTGAGATATTACACAGCTTTCCAGAAGCAGAGTTTGAGCCTGTGGTAGATCAAAACCATGCCTGTCGTAAGTCTTCATTAGCAGTGTCAAAACCACGCACAGCAGTTCTGCAGCTCTGTTTCTCTTTAAGCATCAAAGGTTATATCTTCACCGTAAGATGGCATTGAACTGATAGTGCTGCTAAGAAAAATGTGCATCTGTCTCAAGGTAATGAAAACATATGCCAGCAAGTAAAGCTCAGAAAGGAAGTCTCCCCTCCTAATCCATAAGCAGCAAAAATACTAACATTAATTTCATTTATCAAGGCGATATAAATTCATTGTAAGACTTTCATTCATTTTACTTCAGATTATTTTTCATCACTGATTGTATAATTAACCAAGTGTGAGGTAGAAATAGATTGCAGAGGAATAGTGCTTATTTGAAAGAATAATAATTTCCAAATAAATTCATAACTTTTCAACTGACTGTCCTGTAAGAGGCAAGTTAGCTGAAAAGCAAAGGAATTTATTCATGTGGGAATCTTCTAATTCCAGAGAACAGTCTTTACTTCTTAATTAAGAACATGCTCCTTTTTCTTCCTCATAAAAATAGGCAAACAGAATTCTGCTCAGTTTCAAAATACTTTCTTGGTGAAAAAAAAGTGGTGAGCAAGAGGAAGAGTTACGTCATCTCCAGATCCCTGCAAAAACACATAGCTTTTTACTAAGTGAAGAAATGTCAGGTCAGATGACAACACAAAGATAATTGAATTAAATTTGTGTAAAGATTGGAAATTGTATACCATGACAATAACGTTTTAAAAAAAGGCATATACATTGCAGCTGTGGTGGAGAAGAAATTTTAAAAAATTTCATTGCTGTCGGAGACAAAATCTACAGTATTTCCACAGGAACCTGTTGAGAGTAGGTAATCTACCCTTTGTAAAACAAAATGCTTGCTTAACTCCATTTCAGCAAATTCAGAGCATTTACAAGGTGCTGCTTAAGAGCATGTTTATTAAGTGGAAACCTGTTCCTGCTAAGGAACCAAGAGGTTTCCCCAAAGCAAACAGGATTTCAGACTTAGGGGAATGGGGATTTGGACTGATAGTATGTAAACTTCACCTAGCTTATTAGTTGCTCGTCAAACCATATGTCAATGGAATGTAATTTCCTAGGGATTTGCAGTAAGGTCAGGCTTCTGACATATGACATCAATAATAAAAACTCCTATACTCTGCCCCTTCCTTAAATAGGAGAACTTTAATAGTAAACCCCACAGGGGTGCAATGTGTATCCAGATTGTCTGATTAAATAAAATTCAGTTAATAATCTCAGTACAGATTTGCTGGTTTTCCCCTCCTAATCGGTTAGAAGGGTTCCTAACTGTTCAGTCTTGGTATTTGTTAATTGCTGTGGAAGGAGAGGGAGGCATTAACGGTCTCTCTCTTATTAATATCTAGTAGTTGGGTCACTGCTACAGAGAATGAGCGTGCTTGATTTGACTTTTCACATCCAAATCATGGGGCAGAGAGTTTATGCAAAACTAATCAAACTCCATCTATAGCAGCTATTTTAAGCTTTTGCATGTAATAGAAGAGCTTAGAGAGGAAAACTTGAGCACTTGACCTAAATACACTCTTGTTACTGTGGGAGTTTGAGGGATGCACCACCCTTGGAGATTTTTCCAAGCTCAGCTCTAAATTGAGAGATTTATTAGTAATTTTTTATATTGCAGCTGTATGTACTAGACAGTGGGCCATCATCTTCAGAGGCACAGAAAGGCAGTACCACCCCGTTTGCTATTTTCTGCAAAAAGCGTTAATGCAATGCCTTTGAAAGAGAGCTCTTGGTGGAGTGCTCAGAGAGGATGCCTCCACGTGCAGGCAGCCATGGAGTATCTAAGCGCTTGGCCTCAGGCCTAAGACTACTCCTGACAGCTTACTGGTTTGCTGGGGCACCTCTAGCTCAGCCTCATGGCTTTGATGCTGAGCAGGGGCAGCCGAGCAGCAAGCTCTGCTTGGTGGGTGGCAGCACCCATAGGAGAAATGGTGAGTGCAGGACTGCCTTTGCAGCCAGCGATCGACGCATATGCCAAAAACCTTATGGCCACAGAAATCAGTTAAGTCATTCTACAGCGTAAAACTGCTCTAATTTGTGGTTTCATATGGCCATAAAAGGCATTCTCAGCAGCCAGAAGGGTATATCTGTACCTCCACAACATATAGACCCTATCTTGTGCTCAGCAGACTCCGTTCAGTATATCTTACAGCAATAGTAAATGGTTGAGCGAGGCCATTGCTCCTCAAAAGTGAAGAATGTGTTAAAAATTTGTGCGAAGTGAGATGCTTTCCATGCCTTTAATCTTAAGGTCCTGATAAATATTTTGATATCCAGTGATCATCTCAGGTAACTGATTTTGAATTGCTACACTAAATAGGTGGGAATAATTTTTAAAAATCCTCTTCCACCCCACCCCCCAATATCAGCAGTGACTCCGGTGACTCAGAAGCAATCACTTCTAAGAAAGGGTATGTAATTTTATTTTGGGTATGTTTGTTTCTCTTTTTGGAACAATGGCTACATGTTCCCAGCGATAAAATATTCTGAAATGGTCAAATGAGCAGTCATCACGCATTATTCAGAGATGACTTTCTATACCTTTCTCCCATTTAAATGATGGTCAGCTTATCACATGCATTACTGTAACAAACAGGTGGTTCACAGCTGCACTTTTGACATGATCCTTAAAAGTTATTCTTTGTAATTTTAACTTTGTTAACATGAGATTTTTACTTGATTCTGCTAGAGCTGATAACAAATCCATTATGCACTGTGTTCTGTGCGCAAGCTATATAACAAAATGCATGTTAACACACAGAAAGTATGATACAGGCTCTACTTATACCTTTTCTTTGAAAATCCTTAATTATAGAGGAGCTGATACATATGTTTATATTTAGCTCACTTAACACTTCTCCCTGCAAAGGATTCCCATGTTTTTTCCTTTGAGAAAATCACTATTCTCCTTCAGAAGCCCTTTGAAATTAAGAAAAGAATAACCACTCAGCTCAACCATTATATATTCTCTGTCCTATGCTTTTTGGGCTCTGTGGGGAAGACTGCAACAAAAGGATTCATCTGTATTTGTTCCTCCAAATTGGTGTGTAGAAGCCCAAATTTTCCTTCTAGAGGGAATGTATGGCAGAGGAGCATCCCCATTCCTTGGGGCAGGGCAGGGAGAGAAAATGGGGTGGTCTGCAGCCCTTGCAAACCTTTGGATCATGGCAGGTCATCCCACCACACGGGGTAGGATCCTTTAGCTTTTCTAAAGAGAACATGGATTAAAGTGGCTCCTACTGTGCAGGAAAAGTGGAGGAGAAATTGGCTGTGAAGGAGCAGAGCTGAGCCCTCAGACATCAGGAAATTCCGACATGGAATTTCCAAATCTAAGTTAGATACTTCCAACTTGTGTATATTCATTTTCAATAGCCTTTATCAACACAAGGAATGTAAAAGCAGGTTGGGAAACATGTTGTCATCCAGTAGTTCTCTCTATGCAGGCGGAAGAATTATGTTATTTCACGGTATTCTGATGGATTTAATGGATAGCATTATGCTAATGTTACTCTGCAGTATTTTATGAAACACATCACAATATATTCTTAAAAACTGATAAATTGCTGGTACTACTATATCAAAATGTATGAAGCATTTTCAGGTTTTTGGCTTTGCCCACACAGACACAAAATATGAACAGGTCTTTTATGAACCAACAGAAAAATTTGAGTATGAAGCAGTTATATAGGCAGAACAAAATGTTCAAGTATTGCTTTACACTAGTCTAAGAAAAAACACTGTAGAGGGCAAGTTCATAAAGTACTAAGATTATTTTATATTGCATTGCAGACAAACTTTGCTAAAACAATTGGCCTGTGCTGGTAACAGAAATGCACGTAGAATTCTTCACTAACGGTATAAACCTCCCTTTTTTTAGCAGTATTTTTTTGTGTGTAGTCAGCTCACCACAGATGGGATCCAACAGTTTCAGAGTGAATACTGGAATCTGGATTTGAGCTCACTGCATTGATGACTTCATTTACTTTTTTCACCTTAATATCTGAATGTAATTTTACTGTTTTGTACCTTTCTTCTTTGGTAAAAAACAAGCTTTGCATGTATTTTAGACAAAGACTTTTTGCTTTGACTGCTGAACTATTTAAAATTGAGACTTTTTTTTTTTGATGATCCCTGAGATCATAAGGTATTTGGGGGATTTCTTTCCCT